ACTTCTTTCATTCTCTTCATCCTCGGCCATTTTCGCTTTTTGTTCTTCTTCCCATTTTCTTTCTTTTTTTCTCTGAATAGTCCTCTGATATATTTAATTAATCATCTTCGCATCAATTTTTTTCAACTTGCGTCATGAAGGCCAACTCATGTATGAATCGAATATAAACTTATCCTAGTAACCTCACAAAAATATACATATGTTTGTGCAGATGAATTTGTGCTCTGAATTAAAATAGAAATAGAACATTAATACTACTTTTATCAATATACAGGACAATCTACCATGAAGTATTTATACTAATGTCCTTTTGTAAAAGGCTCATTACTCACCGATAATTATTAACAAAATTTGCACAGTAAAAGTGATTCAAAAAGTTGCCCTATAAGTAAAAAATCTATTTAATTATTGTTTTTTTAGGACCCAGTTAATGAAACCTTAGACGAAATGAAAGAGAGGCTGCAGAAATAGATACAAGAACACGAGAAAAATAAAGAAATACTAGTGAAATCTCGTCGTTCAAAAACATCAAAGTTGACAACACATAAAAATGATGGAGGTGAGCAACGATATCCTGAAAAAGTTATGTTACTTGCGAAAGGTTCAAAAATACCATGGACCAATATAAGTAGCAACCATGGAGGTTTTAAAACGGAATCTTTGCATACGGCAGCACAGAACCTGGAGACTGAAGGATTCTGTAAGTTAATGTACTAGGTTGGGGAAAAAGTTCGTGCGCCGTGTCAAAATAATGATTTCTTATGCAAGAATTTATTCAAAAACAACAACAACTATTCTTCAAAATAGAGACCATCATTGTCAACGACCTTCTGCCAACGATCTGCAGGCTTTCGAATTTGGTCAAAGTACCATTCCTTCGACTTTGAATCGAAAAATTCTTCACATGCTTCTTCAACTTCATCGAATGACTCAAATCGGCGACCTTTCATAAAGTGCTGCATTGATCGGAAGAGGCCGTAGTCAGATGGAGCAACGTCGGGACTATACGGTGGATGCGGCAGAACTTCGACACCGTCCAGCTCTTCAAACTTGTTGCTGGTCTCTCTGGCGGTATGCGGCGTTGCATTGTCGTGTTGGAACAAAGCGCGTTTTCGACGAACGAGACTTGGATACTTTTCAACCAGCGCATCGTAGACTCGATCAAGTTGCTCGCAGTAAAGTTCAGCATTGATAGCGTGACCATTCGGTACAAGTTCAAAATGCAAGATTCCTTCGAAGTTCCACCAAACACAAATCATGATCTTCCTTCCAAATTGATTTTGCTTCGAGACGGATGGAGGAGTTTGTCCTTTTTGGACCCAACGCTTGCTTCGATCGTGATTGACCAGGTAGACCCACTTCTCGTCTGATGTCACAATTCGCTTCCAAAAACGGTTATCCAAAGGATTGTTGAGCAATTGGCGACAAATTTCGACTCGTTTGGCGGCTTGCGCTTCGGTCAACTCGTGTGGGTCTTGTCGTGGCTTTTCGTGGACAAAGTCAAGTTGCCTGAGATGATTCCAAACTGTCTTATGATCGACACCGAGTTCTGCAGCCAATTCGCGTGTGCTTGATGACGGCTCAGCATCCAAAGCGGCTTGCAAGTCTCCTTCGTCCAAAATCGCTGGTCGTCCGGAACGTGGCGTGTCTTCAAGATCAAAATCCCCTTCATTGAAACGCTTGAACCATTTCTGTGCAGTTCGCGATGCCACCATGCCTTCACCTTCAACGTCGCAAATTGCTTTGGGAGCTGCTTTTGCATCCGAATTCTTTCTCCAATAATGACGCAGCAATACGCGAAGCTCAAAACTTGTGATTTCGTAATCAGACATCTTAAAGACATCGAGAAAATTTCATAATAGCCACAAAACCAGATCAAAAACACAAAAAATATACAGAAAAATCATTATTTTAACACGGCGCACGAACTTTTTCCCCAACCTAATAAATAGGAAGAGAGCAAGTCATAAGATCATTGGAACGAATTTTTGTCCTAGTTGATGGCGGAACAGGAGATTTTTGTAAGCTTTTTGAGCGAATACGAGGCAGCGATTGATGCAATCAATTGTTATTATTTTGTTCATTTGTAGGATGAGACGGAAATGGCTCGTCGACTACAACGTATTTTGACCGAAATAAACAAGTTGTTTGTACAAGGAAAACCTGTTGATCTGGATACAATCAAGCAACTCCATGCAACGCACGGTGTTCTATTTCAAAGCTCATGAAGTTGTATCTGATTCGCTTTTTGAGTAAAAAAAAAGAATAAATAAATGATAGATCTCTCTGTAAGGCGAAGTTCTTGTTCCATCGGCAATGACGATCATCATCTTTCAATAGTTGAGACAGTTCTATCTCAGTTATTTGGAGAAAATCGGCAAGTCAACTCGTTTCTTGTTCAGTTCATTGTTCCTAGAAGCGAAACAACTATCAATCAAACATTCAATGAATGAGAACTATCTCACTTTGAGCAACAGAAATAAGTGGAAAGAATTTATTTCAGCCATATTCTTGATGAACTTCATCGGAATGATCATGTACTGACGATAAGGATTGGATTTGTTTCACTTCATCGATTAATCTCTGCTATTGAATCACTTTCCTATCCCCTATCGCCATCTCCTCTCCGCTTTATTCGGAGTCAGAGTGAAGAGGGCAGCTGTAATTTCATTAATCTATGTAAATAAAGTACAATTCCATTGAAAATCCATCAGCGTTACAACCAAAAGTGTGGGACAAGGAAGTGAGGTATCCACGATTTCTGTTTGATTCCAGCGTTACCAAGGTTTATTCAAACCAATTCTACAATTGGTGGAAACATTACTATGCCTTTCCAACTTCACCACTTCAACAAGTCAAAGTCATTCTAGTCACAACTACCAATCCTACATTAGACCAGTTCTTTATTCATAAAAAACCTCCACGTACAATCTTAAGAAAAACAGACAGCATCGACTCAGTAACATTTTTCAAGCAATTGATCGAACAGCAACGAAAGAAAGAACGCTCATAACGCCTAAACACTCACTTTTTCTATTATCCTTCTACTACCATATTCTATTGTAATTGTTTTTGTAAACTATCATCATACACTTCAAACAATAAAAAAGCTCTCGATCACCTCGTTAATAACCACTATTTTGTACTAATCTAGCAAACACTTCGAAAATCTACAGAAATTCTCATTTTCAATTTCTCTCCTAGACTTCAAGCTAGAATTCGACTATTCTCAGATCCATTTCGTCCATCCAAATTGATCAGCTGAACCAAAATGGAATCATCCAATTCAGACAATCCCCAAAGAGTACGCCAAGACAATAACCGTGTAACAGCAATCCTACCCGCCATCTATATTGACACCTAAGATGTCGCCAACATACGATATTACCATCCGACTGTCCATTCACCGATTTATTTCTCAGCCAACAAGTTCAATATATAAGAAAACGTCATTATATTCTATATCGTACCATTCATCACCACTTACAAGGTACAAATCCCTTAAGCAAGGATCGAAACGCGTCGTATGGCGCTTTGAATCTAATCGATGAATATCTCACATCCACACCCTCGTCGAAATCGGACGAGGTCACCGAATCGACTGGTGGCTTCCCATGGATACACCCATATATTTGTTAGAAATTTCAATTTCCAAGTTTCCCAGGTCTATTAATATGTCGAAAATGAGTTTCCCGGAAAACGCTATAACACATCAAATCAAAGAAAACGTCAAGTATTGCCAGAATTTCCGAGAAATTTCTTTATTTAAATTACTGCTATACTCAGCGACTATGACCTCTGAGATTTTTTCTTTCTAATTATTTTCTTTTTGTTTCGTAGAAAGTTTCAACATAGTGAAATATATTATTGGCGATTTTATGGAAGAAGAACTGCGATGGGTCAGTCACAAATTCAATTTGACAAATAAAATTTGTTGTTGCATAGTTTTTCAAAAGATGTTGTTAAATCTCGACAGAAATCGAGTAATCAAGCTCGCTTTCACTATTTTTTGTTTGATAGTAACAAAAATTGTCTATTGACTAATTTTATCAAAATTTCTATACTTTCTATCGGATTCACATCTTCTCATTCACTACAAAACAATCGTAAAGCATAGTAAAATAAAAACCCAGGTCGAAACCACCCTACCGGATCCTATCGGATCCCTAAACAATCCGTCAACATCCGCCAGTCGGATCCGATAGGATTCCGAAGATGGGATTCCGTGCACATCCTTCAGTTTCCGCTTACATCCTGCCGTCGGAATATCCAGGATTCCGACAACAGGATCCAGATATTTCCGACACCTGGGCCTGTTGGATCCGACATAATCCGACTGTCGGAATGCGTCGGACTCAACAGTGTATTGCACCATCAAGTACTATGTGAGTTACTCTAGCCAGTTACTATTCCTGATAGATTTTCAACGATGATTCGGCGATGAAAGACCTTCTATAACTGAAATTTATCAGTNNNNGAGTAATTGTTCATTTGAGATGATTTTTAGGGATTAGATTTGATTTTTGTTGAATTTAATCACTAGAAATTGTTTTTTATGAATAGATGCCATTTGATAAGTCTCTAACAAAGATGAAACTAGTCATGGCAGCCTGCACTCGCCCTTAACTCTTTGGAGATTTTATTCTGAACCTTTCGACGTTGAATTTAGGTTTACATGCAAGCATTATTAAAGGTACCTGATGAACGGCCCTTGAGAAAGGTCGAAACTATAGTCGTAGCTATCTCAATATCATTCACACTATCAAGGTAAGAGTCAAGATTTCAGAGTTGACCCATTTGAAAATGAACTCTAACAAGTTCGAAATCGATTATGGCAGTGTCAACTCACACCCTCATTTATTTCTTGAAAAAGCAAAAAAGGATTTTTTTTTATCAGCGAAGTTTTTTGTCATAGTATAAAGTACGAATTATCAGCGAATAGTCTGATCGTTCCGAGTGTGTTCATAAAATTATCGTTTTCAAGAATAACTCGTCTGCATTTAGCAGTGCAAGCTGATGCCGACAGAATTTGCACCGAAGTTACTGGTAACTATATCGAATTTGTTGTCATTATTGACATCGACCACTGCCACTGATATTGGATTAGTACCAGTTGCATAAGTAGTTTGAGCAGAAAACGTCCCATTACCGGCATTAAGAAGAACACTTACAGTGTTTGCAACGTAGTTTGCGGTAACTATATCGGGTTTGTTGTCATTATTGACATCGACCACTGCCACTGAGACTGGACCAGTACCAGTTGCATAAGTAGTTTGAGCAGAAAACGTCCCATTACCGGCATTAAGAAGAACACTTACAGTGTTTGCACCGTCGTTAGCGGTAACTATATCGGGTTTGTTGTCATTATTGACATCGACCACTGCCACTGAGGCTAGACCAGCACCAGTTGCATAAGTAGTTTGAGCAGAAAACGTCCCATTACCGGCATTAAGAAGAACACTGACGTTGTTTGCAACGTAGTTAGCGGTCACTATATCGGGTTTGTTGTCATTATTGACATCGACCACTGCCACTGAATTTGGAGCAGGGCCAGTTGCATAAGTAGTTTGAGCAGAAAACGTCCCATTGCCGGCATTAAGAAGAACACTGACGTTGTTTGCACCGTAGTTAGCGGTAACTATATCGGATTTGTTGTCATTATTGACATCAACCACTACCACTGAATTTGGATAAGTGCCAGTTGCATAAGTAGTTTGAGCAGAAAACGTTCCAGTGCCTGTATTAAGAAGAACACTGACAGTGCTTTCACGGTTGTTAGCGGTAACTATATCGGATTTGTTGTCATTATTGACATCGACCACTGCCACTGAGTATGGACCATCGCCAGTTGCATAAGTAAATGCAGTGATGAAGGTGTTGTTAGACACTATTAGGTAAAAGAATCTCTCTATCAGCGTAAAAAGATATAGAAATGAGCGTTCATCAGGGTTATCTGTTACATTTGTGACAGTTTTATCGTTTTTCCCGTCTCATCATATGAGAAAGCTCGATTACATTCAATGACAAGACTAAATGGTCGGGTAACGTACCAGTAAAATTAGCTTTTTGGAACTCTGAGTCTCGTTCGGGTTAATCCGTTACTAGTTGAAATAAGAAGTCCTAAAAATGCGGTTTGTTTTAGCTTTAGTGAACATCCACTTCTCGTGTTCATAACCGTGGGTATGATGCGAGACTGTGACCTACAAGGTTCTCTCGCTGAAGTACAGTCTTTATCATACATACACAAGTCGAGTTACGCTTTGCGATTGGTTGTAGACATCAAACTTGGCAAAAATGGTTAAGTCACGGGATCGCGCGCACCAGTGGAATGAAGTTAGAATTGGCGCTGAGATTGTATGAAATCTTTTAGATATGCAAAAGTGAAGCTGGGAAGTCGTGTATTCTTCCCTTGTCTCTTGAAGTCAATCTCTAACTGCGAAATCAGAGGTACGCTAGTATGTTATGCTTCTGTTAAGAAATACTACCATGTCTTTACGAAAAATATTTTCACTTCGCTTTGTCTATCTTTCGCATCAAAATAAATCGATAAGACTGCTAATTAGTCTTAAAAATTCACCGTTTGATTAGATTGATATTTAGAGCGAATGGAATACTGTTTTTTCGAACACGTATTAGCATCTCCTTTTGGGCTACTAAGCAACAAGTCAGAACAGAACGTTACTAGCTTTAACTAGTTTAGCTTGAGTGAACTGTACATCACTTATCTGATATGATGACGATAGAATAGTGAATTGTGGAGAGCAGTGGTAAAGTAGAGAAAAAGAGATTGATCGACAGTTTTTGTTCTGCGACTACTATTAGTTAATTTCATAATTTGCTTGTTCGTGACTTATAAACACCATGACAAATCAATCTTCTGGGTCCTAGCAAAGTCTCATTTACAGATGATGCACATGTTGCTCACTCCCATTCTGATTTTCATACAATACGTTCATCTACAGTCGATATACAATATTTATGAGGTTTATGTGAGAAAGTGTAACACTTGCACAGATCCTTAACGAGGAGATCATGCGAAATCAGTGGTAACATATCTGACTTCGGACCTTTTACATTAAATAAATCCTAGCTGAGTATGAAAAACTCAAAAAATATAAATGCTCATGGTTTTTCCTATGAATTTATAGTTGTCTTACTGAAGTTTCAGCTTACAAAATTCAACATATCCAAACATTAAATGACTATACGACAAGGCTAAGTTTTATCATCGAATATTTCGACCTGGTAAAAGTTTCAATATTCCGTGAAACATAAAAACTACTCATGCTCAGTTAGGGAGTCCGAGATCTGAGATTCTGAAGATATATTTGAAAAGTTGTAATCATAGTCCTTGAATACCATTTATAGCAGGCTTTAAAAGACTTTTTTTTAATACAGTCTGTCAGAGAAAACAAGGCTTTGATTTTCTTCGCTATTTTACCTTATTTCAATCGATATCGATATAATAGAATCTGGATACGATCTGCTGTTCGATCTTATATAATCGTTTTTCTAGCATCTATTTTGTCGATAACTTTGTAGTGAAATATGATGGACAGCTTCGATTATTGAGATGAGAAAGCAGAGAGGAACATGTATAGAATGACGTATTATATATATTTTAGATGTTATTTACTATTTCTTCAATGATTGTTTCCAATATTAAAAAAGATTTCTTATCATATAAACTACCAACAGAAAGATTATTTCTAACTGTATCTACGGCATCTATGACTTCTGAATCACTGATAACATATATGTAGGCATTCCCAAGTTTTATTGGCTTTATAGAGGCAATTTGAATACATACATGACCACTGAGACTTCATTGCAAATACTTTTCAGAATAAATTGGTTTTGAAAGGGAACGAATGGAATCTTCAGAAGACCATGTAAATGAGTCCATAATACTCGATCGCATGCATCTTCATTTCTCCTATCCACTGATGGATACTACGCTATTCTATCTTATTTGTATGAAAGGTTATTGACAAAATCTCCACGCACTACATATTAGCACTAGCATCGCGGCATAAACATCACTGGGGCCTCTACTGAATATCGATTTTTGTCGTCACCATACGATCTATGCATGTACAACAAGTGACCCATTCAGGATTGTTTCTCATACCATATAACTTAGGTGAAAGTTCATGAAAAGATAATACGCAGAATATGTTATTCACACAGAAATGTTTTACGCAAGCATTATGGACACCNCGGTGGACATGAACATAACAAACATATTCCTAAAAGAATTTGAGGGTATGTTGTAGGGGGGTACCCCCCACCCCCTTAAGAGGATCGTATATCACCCAGCTTACCTCGGCAGCAAAAAACTTTCCGTGTCACTCTGTATCTTTAACTGTAGTATGTGCATAATAAGAGTCCAGAATCTCTATTTCTATGATTAGTTCGTTCTCAACTTCTAGAAAAACTCACTTCGGCCTTTTCAGGATTAGTCGGTCTTTTTTTACACAAAAAGGTCTGCTTTCCTCATTTTTGGCGATGGAAATGCGTGAAGACAGGGAAAACTACTGTTTCTATGCTATGAGAATCTTAAAAACATCATGCCAATGTCGCAAATCACTTCTGTTCCCCCATAAAACGCTTTAAATTAATAATTATGGAGAAAATTGAATGCATTAGTAGAACTCTGAGAAATTTCGCATGTAAGATGACTCAAAACACTCAGATCTGCTATTGTGTAAGAGACTTATGATAACTTTTTATTCAGCGCATAGCAAAACGATCATTATTTCGTTTGTTACGTACCACAAACCGATGCTGTCGTTGATATCGAGGTTGTTGCTGTTGAACTAGTTGATGTTGAGCTTGATGTGGTTGCTGTTGAACTAGTCGATGTTGAGCTTGATGTAGTTGCTGTTGAACTAGTCGATGTTGAGCTTGATGTGGTTGCTGTTGAACTAGTTGATGTTGAGCTTGATGTAGTTGACTCTTTTTTTGTGTGAAAAATAAATATCAAAATGAGAAAAAAAAATTCAACTGTTATAGTTACAAATTGATATTGTTTATTTAGATGCTATGAATATCTCTCACTTTTACTGGATAACAGTAACTTCTCATGTTTACCACGACGTCTTGTACTTCTCCTCTTCTACAAGAATGTGTGTATGGACTAAGATGATAACAGCACACATCCACACCTATACTGCATTTGTAATGTGAAGTGTGGAAGTCATTTTCTTCTCGATCAAAATAGTTCTTTCAAACACTATAGGCTTTTAGTTTGCTCACGAAAAATGTATTCTCCTAGTCTATTGAATGTATTGAAATCTAGTTTTCTCCTAAAACGAGAATAATTAATCCATGTAAATATACTTCTACTAAAGAAGAAAACAGCGAAAACGATTTGGAAATAAGTGGCGTGGATTTTATCAAGGCTAAAATAGAGATCAAATTGCAATCTTCTGTTTCTCATTTGTCAATAGACGTAGGATGACGAGCTGGAGATGTTTAATGTGAATGTCCACAAGCTCCTAAACTTTCTATAAACTTTTCGTCCGTCACTTTTTTAGACTACACTCATATCTAGTTCCAGGCAAGCTTTATTGAAGGTTTGACATGCCTACAAAGACCTTCACGAAACGACCCAAAGTCGACACTAGCTAAGTGCGAATCAATCTATATGCGATGCGACTATTATATGTCTTATCTATGATTTATTACAAGTAACGCGGCTTATTAGCCGCTAAACCCTCTACTGAAAGGATAGTATTAGAGCGCCACTATTCATCCAAAGAGAGAAAAATGTTATTTCAGTTGAACGATCTGATCATTTGATAATTTGTCAGAATGTTTTACCTAGACCAATTTCGCTTCCTGAAATCTTCTGAGATTATAACGCCTAGTCGTTTGTCNCAACCGGTGGACATGAACATAACAAACATATTCCTAAAAGAATTTGAGGGTATGTTGTAGGGGGGTACCCCCCACCCCCTTAAGAGGATCGTATATCACCCAGCTTACCTCGGCAGCAAAAAACTTTCCGTGTCACTCTGTATCTTTAACTGTAGTATGTGCATAATGAGAATCCAGAATCTCTGTTTCTACGATTAGTTCGTTCTTAACTTCTAGAAAAACTCATTTCGGCCTTCTAGGATTAATCGGTATTTTTTTACACAAAAAAGTCTGTTTTTATCGTTTTTGGCGATGGAAATGCGTGAAGACAGGGAAAATTACAGTTTCTATGCTATGAGAATCTTAAAAACGTCATGCCAATGTCGCAAATGACTTCTGTTTCCCATAAAACGTTTTAAATTAATAATTATAGAGAAAATTAAATGCATTAGTAGAGCTCTGGGAAATTTCGCATGTAAGATGACTCAAAACAGTCAGATCTGCTATTGTATAAGAGACTTATGATAACTTATTATTCAGCGCATAGAAAACGATCATTGTTTCGTTTGTTACGTACCACAACCCGATGCAGTCGTTGATATCGAGGTTGTTGCTGTTGAACTAGTTGATGTTGAGCTTGATGTGGTTGCTGTTGAACTAGTTGATGTTGAGCTTGATGTGGTTGCTGTTGAACTAGTTGATGTTGAGCTTGATGTGATTGCTGTTGAACTAGTTGATGTTGAGCTTGATGTGGTTGATTCTTTTTTGTGTGAAAAATAAATATCAAAATGAGAAAAAAAATTCAACTGTTATAGTTACGAATTGATATTGTTTATTTAGATGCTATGAATATCTCTCACTTTTACTGGATAACAGTAACTTCTCATGTTTACCGCGACGTCTTGTACTTCTCCTCTTCTACAAGAATGTGTGTATGGATTAAGATGATAACAGCACACATCCACACCTATACTGCATTTGTAATGTGAAATGTGGAAGCCATTTTCTTCTGGACCAAAATAGTTCTTTCAAACACTATAGGTTTTTAGTTTGCTCACGAAAAATGTATTCTCCTAGCCTATCGAATGTATTGAAATCTAGTTTTCTCCTGAAACGAGAATAATCAATCCTTGTAAATATACTTCTAGTAAAAAAGAAAACAGCGAAAACGATTTGGAAATAAGTGGCGTGGATTTTATCAAGGCTAAAATAGAGATCGGATTGCAATCTTCTGTTTCTCAGTTGTCAGTACACGTAGGATGACGAGCTGGAGATGTTTAATGTGAATGTCCACAAACTCCTAAACTTTCTATAAACTTTTCGTCCGTCACTTTTTTAGACTACGCTCATATCTAGTTCCAGGCAAGCTTTATTGAAGGTTTGACATGTCTACAAAGATCTTCACGAAACGACCCAAAGTCGACACTAGCTAAGTGCGAATCAATCTATATGCGATGCGACTATTATAACTTAACTAACCTGGCGGCATTCGTGTTCCGGAGATGACTATCATTGTTGTGGCCTGTATGTTTGCTTGCAAGTTGCTATTTTGATCTGCGGTGTTGTTAAACAATTGACATTTGCAAGTTGTCTTTTCAAAAGTGGTTGCTTTACATTGGGGTTGCCGTAAACAGTGGATTTGACATTGGAGGATGTTTGGTGCAGTAGTAGTAACGAATGGTAAACAGTTTGAGTTGGCACACTGAAATTCCAATCCATTCATGATTGTCATTGTAACGGACTTGATATCTTGCATGAGCGATTGTTCGAAAAGACCGAACAAAAGCAACATTGAAATCCTTATCCAGCCCATAACTATTGTAGTCAAACTTTCACTTGAGAACAACAATAACTGTGTTTAAAATAAAATGAATACCATCTGCTAATCGTAGCTGCTTTTTTATTCTCTCTCTTCCGTAATAAAAACCTACTTTTTCTCTGCACCAATAGTTTAAAAAAAAGTAATTTCTTGATGTAATATTCAGAATTACTATATGAAATATTCATGATGAGAACGATGTACTATTTTCTTTCAAACATTCTGAATAAGTCATACGCTCAAAAAACACTGTTGTTTCATAGTACCTGCACAGATACTGGGCGAAACTTCACCTCCATTTTGTTCTTGTTCAATGTAGGAGAAAAAAAAGGAACGAGGCAACACAAAGGAGAAGAGTAGCTGCCTAATTCGACTTATAATATAAGTGACCAATTCCTGGCACCCTTAGGAATAGAAATAGATTTAGTTTTACTTATACGTACATACCCTCACCCACACACCCTCAAATTCAACATTGGAAAACTGAACGTTAATTTCTTCAATTTGTTCATGAAAAGTTGTATCAAGGGAACCAAGAATAGTTTTTAGTTCAATAACAAACGATTGAGTCTTTTCAACAAATTCTTTATGTGGAATATCATTTCGAGTGGAATCTTTGATTAAATTTTGACAAGATTTGAGGTGGAACTCAATTTGTAATAGGTACGTAGCTAACATATCTCGTTGATTTATTTCACTACTTCCAGGCGTAACATGTTGAACTAAAGATAAGTATACAACATATAATATAATGTCAACAAACCTATAGACAACAGTTAAAATATGAACAGAAGTTTGTACACTCACTGTGATCAGGTTGAGGATCATCAGATGACTGAGTACCAACATCTGATTGAAAATACGCAAGAGATTCATCCAATTCATTTGATGCAATTAAATCTGTATTCGTAATAGCAATGTTTTCGCTATTAATTGATAAATATGAAATTTGATCGACTAACGATGAATTATTAACGGCAGATATTAAAGATTCAGGTGTATTCTATGCTGCTGTTGCATCATCGTCGTCATGATTTGATTGAATTTTTGATGTTTCAGATGTTGTCGATGAAAACGTTCGAGGCGCAGTTGGTACTGTTCACGAAGATGATAACGGTGTTAGTGATGTTGGAACTAATTGATTGATGACTTGATTGAATGGCTTGAAATATTTTGTAATACGTTCGAGACTTCTTTCATGAGGAACAGCCCTTTAATTGCTCGGACTGTTACAGCTCGACATTGTTTAAGTAAAAATGAATGGCTGTATTTACACCTTACGGTCAAAATACTTTATCTAAAACATAATAGCATGCATGAGTTTCCAATGATGAAAAAGGACAGCATGAGGCAGTACTATTCAATCAAATATTTTTTAATTCATTCAAATTAGTGCTGATGAAAGACAAAACATGTACCACGCAATATAAGGAACATACCGATTGATGAATATTTATTAGAAAATACAATCTGAAACGATTGGGTATTCAACAGAACGAATACGTAAACATCAACTTAGACTTTGTTACCATATGATATATCAATCCGATTTTATTTATAATATAATCATGACATCTACAAAGCATCTCTTACCACTTCACACGTGGTGCCGCTAGCATAGTCTGTTTTGTTTTACTTTTCTGACATAATTTTATCCGAAAAAATGTATCCTAAAAGGATTTTTCTTAAAATAATGAATTGGCGAATCATTTTTTTAATTCGATATTTTTCAATTATTAGGGGGGCGTCGCGCTCCCCCCGCCCCCCCCCCCCCCCTCTGGGGCCCCCCCGTCCCCCCTTTTGTTGTATTCCTTCCCTCCTTCCGCCC